TTAGCTTTCTAGACAAAATATAATTACAAATGCAAGTACTGTGTGATGCCCAGTATCATTAAGAAATGGACAAAAGTTCTGTTTTCATACGAGCACAATTGAATGGCTACTGATCTATGATTCTCAATTGAGCAAACTGTGAACATGTATCATGATTTTAACTTTTTTTTTTTTTTTTTTTAGTCATAGAATGCTCCACTCAAGTGATGGCAGGGAAAGAGAAAATCAACAGTTTACAGAAGGACTACTTTATCCCTAACTTCCCTAAAATTAAACGCCATAAAATGTTAATAAATCACAATCACAAAGCCCTCCAAAATGCCCACTTCTAATTTATTTTTCTTTATTGTGCAGCCTATTGGAAGATAATATCATGCTGCAAATTGTGCCTTGTCCGATTCCAAAATCTGAACCCATGATTATTTTTTTAATTAAAAAATTCATTTCGAGAAATTCGTCTGAATTTAAGTTGTTTAATCCATCCTAAATCTGATAAGTGAGTAAGAAGAGGGATGGGAAGTAGGCAATCAAACAGTCTCCCTACTTTACCGCCCTTCTTTGTAAGTAAAGCCTTGAATGGAATTTGCCCATCACAGCAGATCCCCAAGAGAATTCTGTTTCTATGAAGGAGATCACAGTAGTCAAGATTAGTGGTAACCTTTTGATTTTAGCCCAGCGAAGGGTGAAATATATTAATATTAAAAATGCAGAAGCAGAAATTTTTTAGTGACCTACTATCATGTATTCATATATTATATCTACCCAAGGATTTCTCACTAGTTCAAAATAGATGATTTCCTTAAAACATTAATTTAACTTCTTTTTAAGAGACGACTTCATGGCATAGAAAATAGAAGTTAGAAAACGAAAGCATCTTTGGAAGCACCACCCTTGTCTTAAATCAATGAACTATGTCTTTTTAAAAAAATGCCATCCAATTTTTTTTTCATAATGGCAAACATCAACACAGCAAAACAGGATGCAATTTTTCTAAATAAATAAATCAATGATGTGTCAAAAATTAACAGATGAGTTAATATACTCGGTGCTATCAAAACCAGATGGTGCTTCCTAATATTCATCCTGCTCAGTCAATCCCTGAATATTTTCTGGACCATCGGTATATAAAATAGGATGCTGCTATTTGTGATGGCAAACAAAAGCAATCATGCCTGCCAAGCACATACTATAACAGGCAGCATTTCAGCTCTGCTAGACAGAAAGTAATTAGAATGCTTTTAATGTCCAAAAGAATGATGCTGATAGGCTGCCACAGATGTGTAGATTTATGAATATTTATATGGTGGTTTATAGCTGACACTTTTATCAGTTGAAGAAGATAAAATATCTGCCTGACTCAAAAGCTTGACAGTCAGGTTAATAAAATCTCATTAAAGAGAATGACCTATGCAATTATATAGGATTTATTGTAATTCATTTTTGATTGTACTCTGCTTAAAGATGCAATTTCCCATTTCCTGATGCCAAATTTAGGCTGCATATCAAGATCTACGTGGGTTTTAACTCTAAGCCTCCCACAGAGGAAAAATATGCTTTTAAAACCATGGTGTATTACCCCTTTTAAGGAAAATTATACTCTTCATGAGATTTTATAAGAATGTTGAAAAAAAATCTATTTTTAATCACATATTTCTCTTCTCAGTTATGGCCCTTAATGGCAACTAAGATTCACTTCAACCCTTTCATCTCTTCACTGCATTTACTCTGGACACTCAGTTATGTCTCTTCTTCTGTCCTTGACTCATTTCATCACATGAATGTTTTGGCTATTTTCAGTTTACCAGGTAGCCTCAGACACTGCAATTACACTTTTGCAAAGGTGCAACAGGCAAAGCACCACTCCCATCCCCCACCCCATCCTGTATGCTTAAATGGCCATGGGTCTGTGCATACAAGCTCATTGGTTCAAAGTGGAACGACTAATTTCTCAAAGAACCAATCAGCTCTTCAAGTGGTTGTGCCCCTGATGGCCACTCACAACACTGTGCCTGTTAAGAGATGGCTTTGTCCATCAGTGATTAACATTATGACCACAATTCATGATGTCTAATTCTATGGCTTTTTTCCTCCCAGACTATTTTCCTCACTGCATGGAAGAAACCTACCATCCAATTCCCATCTTTCCAACAAGCACGAGGCATCCAGCCCTTGGTGCTATCAAGCTTACCCCTCTCGATGACCTCCCTTAAAAACAACAAAAGCAGCCGTGAGAATAAAAGGAAATACAGAGAAGTTTGAAAGGCATCAAAAAAACCCCTCTTCACTCCTTTAGATTTAGTGATGTTATAATTTCCATCTGAGAACAGAGACAAAATAAACTAAACAGGACATTAGAGGGAACACTGAAAGAGAACATTGAGAACAAGGTGAGAAAAGGGAGGAAAAAAAATAAAACACTCCATGAATGAAGGACAGCAAGGAAACTGCCAGGGTAGAAGTGACCAAGGAAAGAACAGCAAGTGACTGGTGCAGAAAAAAAGAAGCAATACAGGAAATATATAGCCAGCTAAAACTATGGATGAAAATGGAAATGAGACGGGGGTAAATTTACAGTGTATAACAGGAAGTAAAATATGGAAAGACAGTCAGCAAAGGCTGGAAAGAGAAAGCAAGAGGAGATGAAAGACTGACCTGGGCAGATAATGAGGGGAAAACCTCAATGAAAATGATGGAACTGAGGCTATGCAAAAGAGTGAAAGCAAAACACAGAAAATGGGGAAAGGACTCAAATGGCTGGAAAACAACATAAAAATACAGGATGGTAAAGCTGAGTCTAGAAATAAACATACGCCTGAACAAGAAATAGTTTAGGAGAAAATAAGATCCCAAACCAGAAAGAAAACGAACCTCCTTAAGAAAGGGGGAAAAAAGAAGAAAAGTAAGGAGGAAAATCAAGTAAGCCAACTGCCTAACGAAGAATATAAAAACACAATGGAATACTGGGGCAAGAGCAACTGAAAAAAATATACCCCACAAACAATAAGGAAGCCCACCTAAGAATCCCACTGAAAGCAATCAACCATCTTCCTATCAGTGAGAGATGTGACAGATCAAGTCTTCACTATAACCTGTAATTAGGTTTTCTTTTTCAAAACCAATCCTTCATGTGTCAAAATATTGACAAACAACAGATTTATTAGTGGAGGCATCTATAACTCATTTAGACACAACACTCTATTTCCCACAGGGGAAAAAAAAAAGAGTCTCAGATTCACTGACATGCAGGATTTGGGGGGCTCCAAAGTGTCATAAAAGGCCTTGGCAGGAACTTTTAGTTCTAATGGGCGGATAAATGTGGCTACACCCACTGGGAGCTGGTGGAGAGGTCCCTTGGGCTCAGGCCTCAGGCTGTGGCCTCGCAACCAGCCCATCTTGCTCCCTACAGGCAGGCAGTGGGCTGCTTTGCCCCGGCAGCGCCCGCGGACTCGGGATAAAGGAGAGGAGTCGCGGACCCCAGGGTGGGTGCTCCCCACGAGGTGTTTCTGTAGGGCTCAGGCGAGATGCTCCGGAGGGGCAGGGCCCCGCGGCGGGCAGGGACCAGGGGATGGCGGGGACGACGACGTGGGCGGTGGGAGCAGAGTGTCTGCGGCTCCCGGGCAGGGAGGAGGGACGGGTTGGTTCCCCGCGCCTCGCGAAGTCCACGGCGTGGCAGACGCGGGGCCCTGAGTCTCACAACCAGAAGGTGGGAGGGGAAAGGGACAGAGCAAGACAGAGAGCACCCGAGAAACACAGGCGCACATAAAAAGACATAAGGAAAAACGCAGCTGACAGCCAACCAGCGTGGACTGCGATAGTGTGAGAGTGCATCAAAGAGGTGGCGAAGAAAGCACCAGAAGGCAAAGGAGAAGTGGAGAGAAGAAAGAAATGGAGTAAGGAGGAGAAAGGGAAGAAGCGGACGGAAAAAGTGAAGCAGTACTAGAGCGTCCCAGCGAGGCGGCCCGAGAAGCTCTAGCTTTTCCCGTAGCGGCCGCCGCTATCCCCCTGGGGCGTCCGGCCCCACTCCGGCCCACGCCCAAGCGATCCCGGCCGCCGACCGCCACAGCCGTGCTTCCCGGTGCCGCATCCAAGCCGCGGAGCCACCTGTTAAGCGCGCGCCGTCGGAAGCCCAGCCTTGGCGGCGCTGGAGAATACTTAGGAAGTTTCCGGGCGCGCGGGGAGGCCTCAGGGTGCGCCCCGACGTCCCGACTCGGCCCAGCACGGAAGAGTGTCGGCGGGCCCCCGCTTCTCCTTCCCGGGTCCCCTCCCGCTGCCCCCGGCCGTGGCGGGAAGGAAAGTTGTGCCGAGAGTTGGTACCTGCGCTGAGCTCCAGGCTGGCGCCGTCGCTACCCGTGCCGCCGGTGCCGGCGGCCGCCGCCGCGCCTGGGCCATACCTGACGACGGCGGCGAACGAAGACGACGACGAGGCGGCGGGGGACGCGGGCGGCGGCTGCGCCGGAGTCCTCAGGTGGCCCTGGGATGTGGCGGGCGTGCAGGACGGCGACGACGACGAAGCGGCGGCGGCGGCCCGGCCGGGCCCGGGGGGGTAGGAGCTCTGCGCCTGGAACTGCTGCGGCGGCGGCTCGCTGCTGCTGATGGAGACGGCGGCGTGCGGCGCGAAGGGCGGCGGGGGCGGCGGGGGCGCCCGCACGTGCGGCAGCTCCACCAGGGTGGGTCGCTCGTAGCGCTTGGCCAGCGCCGGTCTCTTGCTGGGGAACGTCTTGAGGACGCTGTAGGGGCTGCGCTGCTTGTAGATTTTGGGGACGCTGGGCCCCTCCTCTGCAGGCTGCATCTCCTCCTCCATCCGGCGCCTCGGGGCCGGTCCCCCGGAGCACGTCCCCTCCCCGCCGGGCGCCGGGCTCCGAGGGTGCCTCCGCCGCCTGCCCGCCGGCTCTGCCCTGGTGCGCGCGTGTGGGAGGGTGTGTGTTTGTGCCGTGGCCGCCGCCGCCGCCGCCGCCTGTCGCTGAGGCTGGCATCGCCGAGCCCCCGCGCGGGGGGCTGCCGCCCGAGCTCCTGATTGACAGGCCGCCTCGCCAATGCCTGGAGGGAGAAAGGAGGTAAAGAGCAAGTGTTTAGGGTAATATCTGCTAATGATAATGGGGGCGGGGCGGGGCCTGGCGCCGCAGCCGCCCGCGGGGTCTGCCCGCCGGCTCCGCGCCTCCGACGGGGAGGGGGGGAAGGGGGAAAGCGAGGACCTGGAGGGCTCCCGGGAACTGCTGAAGAAGGTGGGGATCCTGGATCTGGCTACGGCGAGACTTTAGAGACCCAGATGTGGACTCGAGGCTTCTGCGGCTGCGGGCGGGGTCCGGCTTCCTAAATGAGCTCCTGGCGCCCCCTGCATGACCCCAAACTCTCGGGGTTGCACAGAGGAGGGGCTAGTGGTTGGGGCGGGGTCGTTAAGAGTACGCGTGTATTACCGCAAGTTCTTCTACCAATCGGGAATTGCTCTCCGATCTTTCTGAAAAGAACCTCTTGAAGATCTTGGCCCAGGTGGTCGCGCGGTGTTTACAGGGCTCTGGGGTCCTGCTTTCCCCGAGCCTCGCGGCCTCTAAGCTCATGCGGAACATAAAAGCGCGCAGGGCGTAGAACTTTTTCACGTTTTCATTTGTTTCCCGTAGGGGCCCTGAGAATGTGCATGACACCATCATTCCCCCCACCCCCCATTATAAAGATGAGAAAACCGAGGCGCAGAGAGGCCGAAGGGAATTGCCCAAAGTCAGATACTCGGGAGTGTGTGGCTGTGTTGCACTGACGCATCCGGATTGTTTGAATTCAGCTCCTGACTTCTCATACCCAGTAGACTCTGTGCAATTGAGTGGGGAAATGACCTGACACCTCCCTTTGAGGTGATTACTTTCAACAGTGTCATTTTTAATATGTGTATATGTACTTGCAAGACCAAGGTAACTCGAGAACTCACTCCTTCATTGTCTTACTCACTGCAACTGGCGTCATCCGGCGAGGGTCTGGAGGGTGCCTAATTTCAGTAGCCGTTTGAATGAGAGATCTCTGGTTTGGAGGAAGATCCTCCATGGGGCGCAGATGTCCTGTCTCTCCCAGCCACTTTTTGGAGCAGAGGGTCCATTGCTCCCTATCTCAGATCACTCCTCCTCTAGGCCAACCAGCATACCCTGCCGCAGGGTTGCTTTTCAGCCTTCCTTTTTCGTTCTCCAGGTCAGAGTTCTGGGTGCTCCTTGGTGCAGGACCCTCATCTCTGCACTCTGGAGTTTGTTTCCTTTTCAGAGCCTTCCTTTTATTCTTTGGAAGGTGACCCATTTTCTTCTGGGGGTTCACATCTTTCGGCCTCTTCTTTCCCTGGTCTCCTTTCCTTTGGAAGCTTTTTCTCTCTCCCTTGCTGGTTCAGCTTCTGTATTATTCCCCCCTAGATTGTCTCCCTCTCTCCTGCAGCTTCCTCAGATGGTGCTGTGCTTCCACCCCCCCCATCCATTTATTAGAGATGAAATAAATAATGCCATAAATAAAAGTATTTGGGAGTCCAGGAACTGTCAGGGCTGATTAGGGCATAGAGGACATTTTCTTTCTCATTATGCAAAAGCATTTCATGGGGAAATAAAAGAGGTTTCATTGTAACTCATGCATGTCATATTTCAAGGAATTCAAGATATTAATCATATTTAACATTATTTGCAATGTTTCTCCCTGGCTTCTGAAAACTGCTAAATGAGGACACGTGGATCACTAGGAAAAGGAGACAAGCATGAGAGGGACAGTTAAGAAATAATGAAATGCTGGTGAAAGACAGAGAAAGAGAATGAGATGCCAGGGAGATGTTTCTTAGGCACGTAAGTGAGAAATGGGGGAGCTACTTCTGAGACGTGAAACAGCTGAAATTGAATGATATACTGGAGGAAATAAATGATAACAAACCTCCCCACACTTTCCTTTCTATAAAGCAGTTCTGAATTTGGCATTGAAATGTTTTCCTCCCACTTTACTCCCAGATAATTTGCCAATAAGTCCTGGCTTTTGAAAAGAAATTGGGGTGGTGGCAGTGTGGGGCGTTTAGAGGGGAGAAATCTTTTAGTTCTTCTGAAGAAGTAATTTCCTGTACCTGGGGGCTTTCTCTTCTATGTAGTTTTAAATGTATATCCTCCTCACCACTTAAGCACCTGAAGAGACTGGGAACAATACTTCTATTGTATATTTTCTATTGAAAAGGACCTGCTGTCCTTTACATCAAAAAGTGATTATTTCTATAAAACTGAAATAATCAAATTAGTCATTTAGCTTTTTAAAAGTTGGGGGAGGGGAAGGTTCCCAGAGGAAAAATATTTAAAAGTTTTAAATGATCAGCTTTCAGATTTTCATGTGGGCAGTCACCTATATCTGGGTCCTGGGTTCATAGAAAAATGAAGTACTTAAGAATCGCTCTTTAAAAAACAAAGTGAGCATTTATTCTAAGTGTGGAGTTGAAGGCAATTTTAAAATTATAACTGACCACTAATCCCTGCCTGAGATTGTATTTAACTGAGTATTGTACATCGATGTAATGTATTTAAGTGTTTATAAAATTACTGGTAGCACTCTGTGAGCATCTTGCTCTAAATTGTGGCCTAGATTATCAGATAGTGACTTTGCTGATGTCTTGGGCGTCTCATAGGAGCTGATAGAATAGTAATTACACCCATGCTTTAAATCTTTTTAGATATTTACTCTTATCTCAGAAAAAAAAAGAGAGAGAGTGAACTTTTAAAAGCCAAGTGGCTATTTATGGACAGGGTAATTTTTTGATTGGCAGCATGTCAATTCCTTGAGCCATCCAGAATGTAGCTTTTAAATAATAACTCAGCCATGGGAAATGCTTTTTATTGCACCAATTTCAATGATATTTAATGAGCTTCTGATTGACTGTTTGATCTCCCAATGTTTTGTGCTACTTTTAATTCATTTCGTATAATAGAAAAAAAAAGTAATTGGAATAAAATTTTGTGACAAGATAATGACCTTCCACTTTGAAATTAAATGTCTGATTAGCTTCAACATTTTAATGCCAAGATGATATTGCAGCAGGAACAGGACTATGCATGCTATCATTTGGTACAAAATGACTTAGGAATACTCCTGTGCTTTTCCCATTGCATAGCAAAAAAGGTGTGGTGGCTATGTAATCGTAGGTACACAGGACTAGAAGGGACCTTTGCAGTCTTTTATTCTTGTGACTGAGCCTCTGCCCATAGTTTTCGATGGCCCTGGCAAGTGGTTGTGCAAACCATGTTTAAATGCCTCCACTGATGGGGATCTTGCTACCTTCAGGGACCTTATTTCCCCAGGTAGTTATTCCACAAATATTTACTGAGTGTCTACCATGTGCTAGGTACATTTCTAAGCACTGGAGGATATAATGCTAACCCAGATCACAAGGTCCTACTATTATGGATTTAGGTGGAACAGGTAAACAAACTAGTAATTAACTAAAAAACATTATTTCAAATAGAAATAACTATGATTAGGGACAAGCGCAGTGATTCATGCTGGTAATCTCAGTACTTTGGGCGGCTGAGTGGGGAGGATCACTTGAGCCCAGGAGTTTGAGACCAGCCTGAACAACATAGTGAGATCCCGTCTCTACAAAAAAATAATAATTACTGGGCAAGGTGGTATGCATCTCTAGTTCTAGCTGCTTGGGAGGCTAAGGTAGGAGGATCACTTGAGCCCAGGAGTCCAAGGCTGTAGTGGACTATGATTGTGCCATTGTACTCCAACCTGGAGGACAGAGCTACACCTGTCTCTAAACAAACTATGATGAAAAACCAGGATGGGAGACAGGGCTTGGTGGCTCATGCCTGTAATCCCAACACTTTGGAAGTCCAAGGTGGGAGAATCGCTTGCATCCAGGAGTTTGAGACCAGCCTGGGCAGCATAGTGACACCCTATCTCCACAGAAATAAAAAATTAGCCAGGTATGGTGGCTAATAGCACCTGTAGTCTCAGCTCCTCAGGAGGCTGAGGCCAGAAGATCATTTGAGCCTAGGAGGTTGAGGCTGCAGTGAGCCAAGATCGTGCCACTGCACTCAGCCTGGGCAACAAAGTGAGACCCTTTCTCCAAAAAAAAATAGGGCAAGGGTGTACTTTTGATAGAGTGTGACTGAGATGATCTCTCTGCGGTGGAACAATAGTTCACTCATGAGAAAAAGCCGCCCATGAGAAGAGCAGTCCAGGCTAAGGGACTATAGGTGCAAGAGCCATAAGAACCATAAGATGGGAACAAACTTGATGTTCTCAGGGAGCTGAAAGAGGGCAAGCCATGGGAATTGCCATGGCAAGGGGCAGAGCAAGTCTCCTCTGGGTCTTTGCTCTTGTATCCCTTTCACAGTGAGGCCTGCACTGATCACCTATTTACAGCTGATTTACCTGTCCCTCCCTGCCCCCCCAGGCTATCCTTTCCTGTCTGACACCTATCACCATCTGTTACGCTGTATATTTACTTGTTTATTATTAGCTTCCAAAATCGTGACTCTCATACAGACATAAAAATGAACACGTGTTAAAGATTTTATTAAACGTAATTACTCAGGGCCCTTATAGTGTTCAAAGGGAAGCACAGATTGGTGTGGAATAAAGGAATGTTGAATTAAATGTGTAAATGATTTTTCCATGGGGGCATGCAGATTCCATGGTATGGATGTACCACAGGCTCTTTAACCATTCACCTGTTGGAAGACATTTTGGTTGTTTTCAGTGTTGAACTGTTACAATTATTGTTGCTCTGAACAAACACAGGTTTTTATGTGGACGTGAGTTTTATTTTTGGGGGAATAAACGTCTGGGAGTGGATTGCTGGGTAATTTCATAGTATTTTAAAAGATTCATTCTGCTTTGTGGACAATTAACTTTACAGGATCAGATTGGCAGCAGGGAGACAATTTATTTTCAAAACAGCAGCTGAGTGATCCTTTTAAAATATAATCATGTGGGTCGGGTGTGGTGGCTCATGCCTGTAATCCCAGCACTTTGGGAGGCCAAGGTGGGCAGATCACGAGGTCAGGAGTTCGAGACCAGCCTGGCCAATATGGTGAAACCCCATCTCTACTAAAAA